GTCTCCTTTAGGCCAGTAAATCTGGTCTTGGGCGTTGTACTTTTGACCCACGTTGATTTTGTCTTTCACAACACCCTGAGTCCTTTCTTATGTATATACAAATGAGTTTTGTTATGAGATTCTTCTGTATTGTTGAACAATTTGTTTTGGGGCTCTTGGTAGCTTTTCAATACTTACGATTGCAGTTGTTGATATAGATGCATGGAACACTTCCCAAATGGGTTTATTGCTCAGTCAGCTTAATGTTTTTTCACAGAGTGATTTGCCCAGGATCAAAACGGAGATTGATGCCTTGAAGAACCTGAGACATCAGCATGTATGTCAACTTTACCATGTGCTAGAGACAGCCAACAAAATATTCATGGTTCTTGAGGTTAGTAGTTTGTTCCAGAGAGCTGAAAGCATTTGGTCACTTTATCAGTAGTTAAGAAGAAAGTACATGTCACCTGAAAGATGAGAACAACTGTTAATTGGCTTGCCTGTTTGAGTGCTGTCTGTAACAATTTCCATCAAGGTAGACATGTATAATAAATTGGAGATTCATTGTAACTGTACACTTTCTAATAGACCCCTAATAAGGTGGCATAGTTTAGTGGATCACATGGGTTAGAAGTTGTTCCTAGAGGGAAGGAGCTATTTGAGTTTTAAAAAGGTAGCCCCCAGTGCGTGTGTAATGTGAGCCAAACGCTTTCAAGTCTTAACCTGCTCTTTTTGGCCTGAAAAGTCTTTAGAAGTTGCATCATCCATCTCTTGGTTCATTTTCCTCAGTCTCAGCCAAATGATTTGCAACTGTGCATCATTTTCACAGATTAGCACTGTTTTATGGCAAATTTTAAAATTCATGATGTTAAAGGTTTTGAACTTAGAGCTGTTTTCTCTTCCCTATACTGTAGACCCACCCACATGGTCTATAGTGGTAATTTTAAAACCTTTTGTTTTTAGCTGGTCCCTTTGTCCATGTTAAATTCTTAAAACAATTTATTTAAAAAAAAAAAATCATGAACCTAGGAAATTTTTAAGAGGTACAAAAGGGTAAGTATATATTAAAAAAATAAAATCCTTTCTTCCCTGTATACTAGTCACCCAGTTCCCTTCCTCTGAGTCAGTGACTGCTGTGTTTCTTGTGTCTCCTTTAGATAGTCCCTGTATTAGAAATGCATGTGGGTGTGTGTAGCTTATTGATTTCTGTCACACATGGTCAGGTACTATAATATTATTCTGTATCTTGTTTTTGTTGCCACTTGACACTTAACCATTTGTGTCATTCATAGAGATTTTAGATGTTTTTGTTTCTTTATTTGAAAATATGCAGCAGACTATTTTCTTTATGTAAATCTTATTTGGATAGTATTTAAAAAATGGACTATTGAGGTATACTTTACATATAATAAAATACACACATTAAGTATATGGTTTGACAAATGTATACACTCATGTACTCCCTACACCAGGGAGGTATTAGAACATTTCTATTACTCCAGAAAGTTTCTCCTGCCCTTTTACAGTTAATGCCTGTTACCTCACTTGCCCACTGCCCTTCTGAGTAACCACTGATCTGATTTCTGGCACCATAGGTTAGTGTTACCTGTTCTAGAACTTGATATAAATAGGATCGTACAATCTGTACTCTTTTGTATCTAGCTTCTCTTGCTCATAGTGCTTTTGTGATTCATCCGTCTCAGTATATATGCTTTTGTACCTTGCTTTTTCTTCATAATACTGGAGATTGTTCCATACAGTTCATAACAAGCTTCCTCTTTTTTTTTTTAATGACTGCATAGAATTCCATTTTATAGCTGTGCTGTAATTTATATAGTTTGAGCATGTGAGTTGCTTCCAGTCTTCTGCTATTACAAACAGTGCTGCTACAGTGAATGATCTAGAACCTGCAGTTTTTCACGTGAGACCGTATAACTACAGGAATAATTCCTAAACATTTAACTCTCAGGTCAAAGACTTCGTGCGTTTTATAATTTAATTTTTATTTTTTTATTCTTGTAGTTTAAATGAAGTTTACATTTCAAGTTAGTCTCCCATACAAAAATTTATACATACATTGTTATGTGACCCTAATTGCTCTCCCCATTCTGTGACA